ACTTAATATCAACATGTTTATCAGGGCTGTATAATTTAGAATTTTTAAAAACGGAATACGGAAGGCAGACGAAACGGAAGAAGAAAGCGAAGACCCAAAAAAGATGGAAGTAAGCGGAAAACGGAAGCGGAAAAATACCGTATTATCTCTAATAGAATGCCCGGGCATTCTATTTTTCAATCACCTTCCAAAGGGGCATTCTATTAGAGGGGGGCATTCAAATGGAGAGGGGCATTCTAATAGAGATAATACGGTAATAAATTTTTTATTCAAAATTAAAATCAAAATTCTTAAATTGTGATAATTAGTGAAAATAAGTTAGTGAAATAAGCTAAATCTAATTAGTGAAAATACCGTAAATCTTCTAATAGAAACACACCTCTAATTGAAGCACACCCTCTAATATAAGCACACCCTATGATAGGATCGAAAAATAAAAGCACAGCTTCTAATTTAAGCACACCCTCTAATATAAGCACACCCCTATTATACCGCTGAAAAACACCATAGGTATCATAGGTATCATTTTTATTGTTTATATTAGGAAAAATGCCGGATTCGGCTGTATATGAAAATAATGCGGGAATCAAATTTTTTACTGCTCCCCATAATAGTCAATTTCTCAATAATTCTCTCTATATTTGATTTATGCCGTAGGGAAAATACCCGCGAACTATCACCGCAAAAGGATTATTTTTCTCTAACTTTGTGAGCATTTACTTTTTTGTCTGTCCGAGTTGGTCCGTCTTTTGTCTGTCCGAGTCGGTCCGTGTTTTGTCTGTCTGTGTCCGTCCGAGTTAGTCCGTGTTTTGTCTGTCCGTCCGAGTTCGTCCGTCTTTTGTCTGTCCGAGTTGGTCCGTCTTTTGTCTGTCCGAGTTGGTCCGTGTTTTGTCTGTCTGTTTTTGTCTGTCCGAGTCCGTCCGATTTTTGTCTGTGTGTTCGTCCGTGTCTTGTCTGTCTGTTTTTGTCTGTCCGAGTCCGTCCGTGTATTACATTTGAACATGCCACAGGGAAATTCATTGGAAGCAAACGAGGGAAAAAGTCTGACCTTTCTGTACAAAATAAGGAAAAATATTGAAAGGAAAAAATGAAGGAAAAAATTTGATTCCCGCATTATTTTCATATACGGCCCCGGATTCGTATTCCGGGCTTCAAAATTTCTTAGTTCGGTTCGGATTTCCCGTATTAAAATCCGGAAAATCCGGATTTTTTTAGACCCGAGCTCGGGAGTTCAAAAAAATTTTTTATAAAAATTTTGCAACAAATAAGCTAATTAGTATAAAATTGGGAAATAGCGGGTTAACACTCAAGACCTACAACTAGGGTTGTTGAGGGACATCAAGAGGGATATTGTTGGTTGGATTTAGAGAAGTATCAAAGGATATAAGAGGATTTTAAGGGAATAAAGGGTCTGGCTCCATGAGATCGGTGCTTGTTCCTTTCAGCTCGGAAGGTGAAAATTTTCGAATGGAAAAAATTTATGAAGCTGGTTGGTTATAAAATTACATGGAAATTTATAAATTCAATTGAAATTTAATTTTTGTTTTTTTTATGTTGGGTAAAAATTTTCTTCGAAAAACTGAAAAAAAGATCGAAAAATACAAGCACAGCCTCCAATTGAAGCACAGTCCCCAATATAAGCACACCCTAGAAGAGGATCGAAAAATAGAAGCACTGTGCTTCTATTAGAAGATTTACGGTAAGCTAAATCTAAAATAGTTACCTTGACTATAGTTGAAAATTCCTGGGAAATCAGCGAGTATCCGGATCCGACCGAATCTCAGGATATACGGATACGATTGAAATCCCGGATATATTTATCAGAAAACTTTTATTTGCGGTATTGACAAAGTCCGGTGCGGATAAAAACTAATAATCAGTATACCGAAGGCGAGCTTAGACAAAAATGAGCTAATTTTTCGATTTTTGGTGACCTATATCCTAGTGCATATTAGGTATGGGTCTGGTTGCTTTTTTCAAGGAGATACATAGTTGAGACAGTTAAAAAAATTTTCTATTTTCCAAATTTTCGCCTGCGCCGCTGTGAAAATTTTGAGAATTTTGGAAAACCAAGAGGCAAGCTTTTTTCATTATTAGCGCCGTCAGAAAAAATTTAGGAAGGCCAGAGCAAATTTTTTCAAAAATAATGGCCGCATTAGAAGGTGTATTTTTGGCGGAAGAGGACCAAAAAAAGTTGCCGTTTTCGGTTCGAGCCGACGTTCGGTGCATTCATTTCGAGCTTGGTTTTTTTCGATTCGGTTCGTTTTCGAGCTTAAAAGCCTCGGCTCGCTCGATCTTTCGAGTTTCGATTCAAGCAAGCTGGCAACCCTAATCGAAATTGTAAAAACCTAAGCCGAGAAGCGGCAAAAATGGAATGGAAAATGGTAAAATAAATCTAAAAAATAAATTTAAAAATAAAAAAGCCCAGAAATCTAGCCCAGAAATCAGCATATTCAGGCCCCTCTTTTGAAATTAAAAAATTCAAGTTCAGTATTATAAAATCGGGATTGGAAATCAAATAGGTATTATAATTTATAGAGCCAATGAAGATGAGATCACTTTTTAGTAACTATATGTTAGTGATGCTCGGGTATCCCGATCCCGACTCCCGACTCGGGAAAATTTCCCGAGTTTTTGGCCTCCCGATCCCGATCCCGACTCCCGGTGTCAATTCCCGATTAAGTCGGGAAATTTTTACACCCCTAAGAATGGATTTTTCTGACAAAATTATATTTTCATTTATAAAAAATGAAGAAATCTGGCCTCTTGGTCTCCTAAAATTCCCAAAATTTTCGCCTGCGGCGCTGAAAAGGGAAGATTTTTGGCTTAAGGATCTTCCAAATTCCTCAAAATTTTCGCCTGCGGCGCTGAAAACAGAAGAATCTGTGGAGTTTTAGTATAGAAGATTTCGGTGATTTACTAGGATTATGGTGAATTTGAAGACTAGGTTTTTTGGACAGGCTGTTGGCTTATCTTTCCAAATAATCGGTGAAATAAACTCTTAAGTTACCCTTAAAGATAGTTCACTATAGAGGGATATGAAGAGATATTTCACTCCAATGAGAGTCAAAATTTTTGGCTGCGGCGCAAAAAATGGAAGAAATCTAACTTCAAGACCTAAAAATTCTCAAAATTTTCGCCTGCGGCGCTAGTAAGGCTTCTTTACCTGCCAAAATTTTCAATATTTTTGCCTATGGTGCAAAAAATCGGAATTTTTGGCGCCGAAGGCGCCAAAAATTTTTTTATTGCTAATTCCCGACTCCCGATCCCGACTCCCGAGGTCATTTCCCGACCCGACTCCCGTTTCCCGGGTTTTTTCTTCTCCCGAGCATCACTACTATATGTATCTTCAAAAACAAAAAAAACTCACTAAATATTTTGTATTTGCCTAGTAAACTTCATTTATAATCTTTAAAATGCTAAATCCGTTTTATTTTTACTTACTATATTTTATGCAGCTTCACCAAAGTATCTGTTGGACCTAGTGGAAATTTTTGTACTTTAAATATTTCAAAAATTAATTCAAGTGGTAAATGTTTATTTTGCTTTTTTTGAATTATTTTTGAATTATTCAGTTGTTTAAATTTCATATTTTTAGATTTTATTTTAAATTACTATTAAAAAATTAATTTTATAAAAGATATTTTTTTGAATTTTACATAAATTGTTTTACTACACCTACAACACTGAGTTTTTAGAAAAATTTTCGATGAAAAACGGAGAAAATGACCTTAATAAAGTATAATAAATGTACTAATGTAAGGTATATTAAGATAGCAATGAAAAAATGAGGGGGCAAGTCTGTTTATTATTTATTTTATAACTAAATAATAAGTATTTGTCTAGTATTTGAAATGTTCGTCTAGTATTTGATGACCTCAAAATAATATTTAGCTTGTGTTCTTCATTTACCTTTATTCATCCTTAAAATAATGGTTAAAGTTTAAGAAATTATACAGTAATTAGAGTTGCTGGGAAAGCAATGAAAAAATGAAAAAAAGAGTTTTGACTAGGAAATTGATTCTTATTTGATACTAGATTTGAGACTAAGTAGAGTGAAAAATAAAAAAAATTTTAGATAGGAAAGAATTTTATCACAGATTTTTTTCCAAGACTGCACAAAATCAAAGGCATTGAGTGTCTTAGTTTCTCATTTGTATTTTATATTATATTTTGGATTTCTAATTCAACTCGATAGATCGAACGAGTCAGCAACCTTTAGCCCGAACTTACTCGAAAAATTGATTTGGATGCTCTTTGGATATCTGGAACCAAAGCTAAAAATCATCGCCTTTTCGACTCATTTTCGGGCCGACAATCCTGACCATTTTAAATACCTTGATGAAGGGAAAAAAAGGGGGGTGGTATACGAACTTCAATTTACCGATAACGGCAGCTTGTACATATTTGGAATAAGTATGTATATCAGAATAAAATAATTTATTTTTTAAATTTCTTTTTATTAAATTTATTTTTAAATATGTATATAGTATATACATATTTTAAAATTTTTGTAAGTATGTACTATGTACCAGGGATTCCGAAAATTAAAAAAAAACCGTCCCGATTCCCGAAAATCGGGAATTGAATTTTTATGTCGGCTAGATCCCTGCTATGTACATATTAAAAAATAGACAACAATTGTTATAAAAATGAATTCATTCTTCCTCGAAAAATTGGATTCAGAATCAACTTTTATCTCTATTATACATATAGTATGTATTATTTTTTTAAATAAAATATTTTTTTTAAATATGTACCAATTGTTTTTACATAAATGTTGATCGATTTCAATCATTAAATAGAATTAATTTATTTATATATTGCAGAGAAAAGATTAAACTTTTTCTTGTCTTTTCAACCTTGAATTCAATATTTTCCTTTTATTTATACTTTTCTCCTTATTTTTTCTTTCATAAAGCTTACTCTCATTCTTAAAGTTTTTAGATTTTTCTTTAAATAAACTTTAATTAAAATTATTTTTAAATATATATATGTAAATGTATTGTTTAAATTTTAATTCATTTTTCCTCTTTTCTTCATTATTTTTATATTTTCTATCAACATTTTATTCACTAATTAAAGCAACAATACCTTGCCAAAAGAAAAGGTTTTGTCTATAAATTATTTAAATTAAATATTTAAATAAATAGTTATGGCCTTGATTCTTTTGTTTGTGTTTGTTCATCAAAAATTTGTGATTCTCCTCCTCCTTTAGGAGAAATTAAGGATGATCAATTAGTTTATTATTTATCTGATAAATCTGAATTTAGACTAGAACGTTTTTTAATTGAGAAAGAAAATGGGGAAGAATTAAAAATAAAAGAAATTCAAATAAAAATAAATTCTTCACAAAAATTTCAAAAAATATTTGGATTTGGGGGCGCTTTTACTGATTCTGTTGGAATTAATTTAAATCAGTTAAGTGTTGATACTAGACAAAAACTTTTAGAGCAATACTTTAGTGAAGAAAATGGTAAAATAAATAAATTAAAAAAAATAAATTTAAAAATAAAAAAGGTATTAAATACAATATTGGACGTGTACCTATAGCTAGTTGTGATTTTTCTACACATGAATATTCTTATATGGATACTCCAAATAATTTTAGTTTGAATGAATTTAAACTTGCACCTGAAGATTATGAATTGAAAGTAAAAAAATTAAAAATATTTGGTTTTATAAATACCATAAGATGCCCACTAATACAAGATAAACCTCTATTAAAATATTTTTTTAATTTTTTGCCAACTAAATAGGTGGGAAAGAAATTTAAGAACAACTCATTATTGTAGAGCAGATACCTATTTAATTACTAAAGCGATGTGTAATGGGATAACCCATTGGTCCCTTTAACTGAAGATTTTGGTTCGGTTCAGGCGCCGAATAACCTTTTGCATTTGCCAAAGGAGAAATATGTAGATATAGTTCAGTTCAGCTTTACTTTATATGATACAACTTTTTTCAGATCCTGGGGTGTATCTTATAGTGAAGTCTGACTATAATTTTTAATTTAATTATTAAAATTTTTAATTAATTTATTTTCCTTTTGTCAGATTCCACATATTTTGTCTGCCATTAATTTAACTAAAGGAAATTTAGAACTTTTAGCTTCGCCATGGTTTACAAAATTAATTAAATTAAAATATTTATTAAATCAGGTCAGCCCCAGGTTGGATGAAAACAAGTGGAAGAATGAAAGGACCGGGGGAATTAAAAGGCCCTTTTAATGGTATTTATTATAAAACATATGCACTTTACCTTAGAAGGTGGAAATTAATTATAAATATTTTAATTAAATATATAATTTATAGATTTTTTGAAGAATATTCTACAAAAAACATTAATTTTTGGGGAATGACTATAGAAAATGAGCCAAGTAATTAAATAAATATATATTATGTAATTATGTATAGGGTTCTCGGTTCAGAACCGAACCGAAGAACCGAGGATTTTCCGGCTCAGTTCCGAATATCCGAAGATGTTCCAAAAACAGATAACCTTAGTTAAACCACATGAAATAAATTGCTTTTGGTTGTAAATTGCTGACTTTATTATTATTCCTTTTGGGAAAAAAATTTGGAGAAATTTTTGGGATAAATTTCAAATTGAGAATTTTCAGATTGTGGCATTATCCCCCACAAATCCATTGGAATCTTTTTTAGTAATTTATTAAAAAATATAATATTTGAAGAAATGATTACCAGAAAAATTTAAAATTTAAATTAAATTTATTCTATGTATTAGCTGCCGGTATTACTCCTTTCTATGTTTGGCAAGCAATGTATTTTTCTGCCAAAATGCAAAGGTATCTGGAAAAATCTTTTGAAAATAATTATTTAAAAATATTTTATTAATAGAGATTTTGCTTTAAATTTATTGTCTCCAACTTTAAAAGAATCTAATATTACAAATAAATTAAAAATAATTGCACATGATGATCAGAGAAGTGGAGTATATAAAACTGCTAAAAAAGTTTTTATTTTAACTTTTCTACTTCTAATTAATCTAAATTAGATTTATGAAGATCCTCAAAAATCTGCAGCAATTGATGGATTAGGTACTCATTGGTATTCCCATACAGATTATGGAGTACTCAGTCAAGCACACAATATTCAACCAGATAAATTTATTTTGGCAACGGAAGTAATTTAAATTTAAAAGATTGCTGGTATCGCTTAGAAATCTCCCTGACCCCAGGGATGTCACTGATTATCCAAACTCCGGATAATTTTTCGATCCGAATTTTTGAAACGCTGATCCGAAATCCTACTCAACGTTTTTCTCTACCCATAACATCCATGATTCACCTATTGTCAAATCAAATTTAAAAAATATAGTTGTATCATTGCTTATTTTATATGGGTGTACTTTGTCTCGGGTGTATCATTTTATCTCAGAATTGAAATTTAATATTTTAGGCTTGTAATGCCTATTTACCATGGGAACACAAACCTTTACTTGGTGCTTGGTTTAGAGGGCAAGCATATGGACATGATATTTTGAATAATTTAAAAAATTGGGTTATTGGATGGATTGATTGGAATTTATGTATTTTTAAACTATTTGAATATTTTCTTAATTTTATTTAGGTCTTGATCTTCAAGGAGGCCCGAATTGGGTTAGAAATTTTGTTGATGCACCTGTTTGTTTAAATATATAATTTTAATTCTATAAATAAAATTTTTAAAGATTATAGTAAATGCTTCTGCTGATGAATTTTATAAACAACCAACATTCTATTTTTTGGCTCATTTTAGGTAAATAAACAGTTGAACCTTATTCTTAGATACTCTCATTTTGTAGTTTCCATTATTTAATGTACCCCTCGTCATTAGGTAATATTCGGGGATTTCACGGACTAAGAAAGAAGTCAGATCAGGTTTAATACGGGCCTCGGATTTCAGGTGTAGGTTTTCAGATAACCCATGGCATTCCCAATACGATTCTTTCAACCCCAAGAGACATCTAAAAAGAGGTTTGAACTTAAAATCAAACTTGGTAATGGATACGGATATGGATACAGATAATTTTAAAATGCATGAGGATACCCGCTTGTATCCATCATAAATATCCGGATACAGATACCAAAATCTATGTCCATTACCAAGTCTGCTGTAAATAATTATTTACTTGGAATTATGATTAAGTTTATAAAAATATATTTAGTAATTTTATACCTCGAGATTCAATAGTAATTTCTTCAACCCTTTCCACAACAATTTGTGAAGAAAAAGGTTTTTTAATTCTAAAATTTAAAAATTATTTTTAACTATTTATAGTTAAATTAATATCTTTAAAATGTATTTTTAATTCAATTGACAATTTATTTGGAATTGAAAACGAAATTGAACATGTTGCTTTTATTACTCCAAATGGTAAATTAAATTGTGATTTTTAAAATTAAAAAATTTAAAAAAGGTAATCGAGTTCTTGTATTACTCAATTCAAATCAAGTAAATTTAAATGTTACTGTTAAAGAAGGTAATCGAAGTTGGAATATTCCAATGACTCCATTTTCAATAGTAACAGCTATTTGGAAAGGAAAAAGCTTTTGAACTTTGAGGAATTTATTTTTTTTTGAGGAAAAATTTATTTTTTAAAAAATTTTTTAAAAAATATTTGCTTGTAGTTACATAATTGAAGATAAAAATATTTTTTGTTTTTGGCTCGTTGAGCACTTACAAATGAGCTTTTAACTAGTGTTCGGCAAATGACCTTTTCCGGTATTCGGTATCGGTATACCGAAAAAATACCGATACCGGAAAATACCGTCTCAACATTTTCGGTATACCGGCCGGTATTCGGTATTTTTTAAAAATTTTATAAAAATTTTTTTAATTTTATTTTTAAAATCTTAACAATAAAATTCGAAAAATGAGCATAATTTTAATATTTGTAATTTAAAAATGGTAAAGTTTTATTTAAAAAAACGATTTTTCTGCTTTATCAGGATTCAAACTAGAGTACGTCCGAGTCCGAGTATTTGAGAAAAACCCGAGTCAGTGCTGGGTATTGGGCATTTGTTGACAGTGATGCAGGGGATCATCATCCAAATCCCATTTATTTTCTTAATCCGCCTATATCCCTCTTAATCCGTCAAAATTCCATGATACGCCCAATATCAATGCAGGCTCCGGGCTCCGGATGGAAAATGAATGGATAATATTATTTCGGGGATTTGTGTAGGTTATGCGGATACGAGTGAGAGGCTACGGATCACGAGATCCGTAGGTTTTTGACCATTTCGAGCCCTATATCTCAGTCCACATGCATCTCCAGGAAAAATCAGTGGTACCGTTCGAATCAGTACTTTTTATTACCCTATATATGACATTTTGAGCATTAATTTAGGAGGAGGTGGCAGAACCAAAAAGTACTAATTTTTTGTTTCTTTTACACAATTTTTACATATTTTTTCTTTAAAAAATGTAAATTAATATTAAATTAAAGATAATTCCTTCTCTCTTTTTTCTTGTCATATTTATATATCCTTTTACATGCTTGTTCGATTTTTGGTAGTATTTACTCGATATTTTTTGCTGAAAATACGCAATGGTTCCCTTGAGATATAAATATACTGAATAAAGCTTTAAATAAAGAAAGGTTTTTAGTAAACCTGCCAAAAACAACATCGGCACATTAGTAGCTTTTGCAAAGAGAAAAATGATAGTTAGGAAGGACAAATACCCAAAAATTGTGACGCAAACATTGACGCATGACTTTTTTAAATTTTTGGAGAAAATTGTTAAAATATTTTTATTTTAATTTTTTGCTTTGTATTGGTTTTAGACTTAATAAGTTATGTTTAGGTTCCGGTTTCAAGGATTGCTGAAATCCTGAAACAGTCAAAAAGTTGGAACTGTCAGGAAACAGACATCATTAAACTTCTATTTTTTAATTCAATAATTACTCTTTATCTATTAAACGTTTAAATTATTCTTTAAAATGTTAATAAACAACTTTCCCAAAATAAAGGTGTTTCGAATAGAGATCGGACCGAGACGTGAGCTCTAACAAAAATCTAGGTTATCGAGATATATAATTTTATAGATACAGATCTCGATTATCGTACGATATCTCAGTCCGATCTCTAATTTGATCAAGTACTCAAAGACCTCTATTCTCGAAGACCCCATCCGCCATTCCTTAGGCTGGCTAATTTTTTCAACATTATATTATAATAAATACGTATACCTATTACTATAATATTTTTTCACAATTTAAAAATAAAAATTCTCTCTCCCCCTTGATTTTTTTCAATAAATAATTTGCAACATCCGGCACTTTGTGTGCGAGACGGGAGACATTTTCCGTACTTCCTCTTTGATATACTACCTAGGCTATGTAAAAATATATTGGAAATAAAAGAATGCCAATTTTATTCTCATTTTCTTTTTTTTTGAAAAGAATAAAAAATATTTAACAAAAAAATATTTTTTTCCAACTGAAAAAAATGTTAGCGCGACACCAAAAAAATAAAATAATAGGTGCTATATAAAAAACGTTCATCCAATAATGTGGCAAAAAATCTTTCCTCTTCTTTAGGATATACGAGAAAAGGAAATATTTATTTATAATTTTTAAGGGAACATAAAATAACGGAACATAAAATCCGTTGGTGTGAGGAAGTAAAAGGAGAACATAAGGGGAGGAATATTTAAGTAAAAGTATGTATGTTGTATAGGTTAATAAAAAAAGAGACAAAATATATATCCATTTTATCTCTAATAGTGCTTTTTAAAATATTTTTTTAATTTAACTTTTTTTGAGGGATTATAAAAATTTTTTTAAATAAAAAGAAGTAACAACACTTTTTTACGTCCTTTCCTGTGGTTAAGAAACCAGAAAAAAATTTTTTATTAACAGACACATAATATTATTCTAATATTTTTTGCTATAATACTCGTCAATATTTTCCCCTTTTTATTTTTAATTTTTCGAAATTTTAATTATTCTTTATAAATTTAAATAAATGTTATAATTAAATAAAAATATAATTATTTTGTTAATTAAAAAATATTTTTTAGTTTTTACTTTTTTTGTACATGATGGCCTTAAAACCGGAAATTTTGATATTTTTTTGCCAAAAATTAACCGTTTTTATAAAAATTTTTAAACCGAAAAATGGAAATTTATGAAGATGAGTGAAAGAAACACAAAACCGAAAACCGGGGTTTTTAAATTTCGATAAACCAATAACCGGTATTAACAGGTTGTGTCCATCTATGTTTTATGATTAAATTAAGTAATTATCATTTAAATCAAAATTATTAAAATCGGACTTGATTAATTTTGAATTTTTAAATTTTGTTTACCCTTAGGCAAGGGCCCCTTACTTAAGCAATATCCTCAATAATAAATAAACCCGATTTTACGTATAAATTTTTTACTATCAATATTGTATTCAAATGTGAGGTTCGAAAACAATCCTCTAAACTTTACCATTATTTACTTTATTTTTTTAGATTATTTAATTATTTTAATTTAAATGTCAATTCAAAATATATCATCATTTTGTTTAATAACTCAATTAATAATTATTTTGTTTGTTTTTATATTTTTATTATTAAATCAATGCAAAACAGAAGGTTTTTTAAAATTTAATATTTTTATTTTCTAAAAACTTGTTTAAAGCATTTACTGCTGCAAAAAAGCGTGGGCAATCAAGGAAACAATCCTCAACAGATTTTGGAGTTAATAATTGGAAAAGAGGACAACAAACAGAAATTTTGGAGGAAGATGATAATTTGTTAATAATTAATGATGATCCAAATAGTAGATTAAATGAGAGGATACGGTTATAATAAAATGATTTGACTACATTATAAGATACTCTCAATACTAGATATAGATCTCGGGGATGGTTCTTGCCGCATTTTAAAAAGCGGATCGCGGTAACTAAGGTGGAATTCTGCGAAAGATTTTGCAAAAAAAGCGGAAGAGAGCCTATCCATATAGGCGGATATAGGGGGAGCCCATCCATATATTCATATATAACCCCTCCATACCCCATCCCATCCCCCCTCCATCCCACTCCCCCCCCCCCCCCCATCCCATCCATATAGCCCACCCACCCCTGATATACTTCTGTCTAGGATAAATTTTTTGTGGTTATCTGGTTGACTATTGAAAGGGAACTCCAAGCAATACCCTCTATGTAATGTACACTTCCTTCTAAAATACATTTTTCTGGCCCAAAGAGAGTATCTTATATTGGGGCTTTATATAATTTGAAAATATAAAATAATTTTCAGTTCACTTACCCGTCCATATCGACGTCCAGTTAAACATTCCCATGATACTATTGAAGTACATGTCCGTTGTAGTCTTTATCAAATTGTTGATTTAGTAATTTTTAAAAATTAATTTTTAATTATTTCCAAAATTATTTTAAAGGATCAAAGAAATAATTTGGCAACACTTTCCGCTTATTTTGACGTTCATTGGGAAGATGCTTTTCTTAATTGGAATGTTAGTGAATTTGATGGAATAACAACTACTTTTGTTCCTCTTAGATGGGTAGTTTGTGAATATAAAAATTAATAAATATTTATTTAAAGGTATGGAGACCGGAATTTTATCTTTACCATAGGTTATTTTTTAAAAAAATAATTAAAAATTGTTAAGAAGTTAACAAAAATATTCAGTCATTGCCTAGATTATCGACCACGTGTTTATTATATAATCTGAAAGTCTAATTTTTATCTCATTCGACATATTTTGCCGTTTCTTCATAAAAATTGAGAAGACTATTAATATTTCACTGGAACCGGCCTTTCCAACTTTTAAACTGAAACTTTTGAAGGAATAAAATAAAATTAGCCGTTAAGCGGTCGTGTCCGAGTGGTTAAGGAGATTGACTAGAAATCAATTGGGCTTTGCCCGCACAGGTTCGAATCCTGTCGACCGCGAAATTTTTTTTGGAAGATTTTTATTATTAATTCGTTAACTAATTAGGTTGAAAATTTAAAGTATTATATGGAGAAAGGCTTAAAAAAATTTTTCGTTATTTTCTTTAGCTTCCTTAGTTTTTGCTTACAATTCGATATTTTTGTATTGCCAACCCTAACATAAATGGAAATTATTTTTACCTTCTCTGAATGAAATTAATTTATTTTATTTTTAAGTATTCAAGGCAGAACTCCAGAATATGACCCTAGTGCAATGGCACAACTTCACTATGATGGGCAAGTTCGTCTTTTTGTTCCAATTACTTCCCGTGCTTTATGCCCAATTAATGGTTTAGAAAAAAACCTTTTTCCCCGAAATAAATTTATTTTTTAGTTAAACATTTCCCTTATGATATGCAAAATTGTACTTTTTTGGTTTGTTTTTATTTTATTTTAAAATAAACAAACAAAATTAAAAATAATAAAAATAATTTTTTCTCTATTTCAATTCTAGAATTATTATTTTTCGTTGATTTTGAAATATTTTTTGTTAAATTTTGAGTTGCGGAAATATTTCCTTAAAAGTTTAAAATATTCAATAGTCTAACCCCCTATAGGATAAACTTTTAATTGGGTTACCGGATCCTTAGAAATCCCTGGATAGTCGATCCGAAAATTTCGGATATCCGAGGTTTTGCGGAGTGGATATCCGCTCCGCCAACCCTAACCATTAGGGATTGAAAATTTATATCTAATAACGCTAATAACGAGGATTCCTTAAATAGAGGGTATCGCCGCAAAATTTCTCACCCAAATCGCCAGCCATATTTTAAAAACGTTTCTTAAATAGAGGTATGTATAATATAGAGATATAGTATCTTAAAATGAGGTTTGACTGTGTTTTTAAATTACCTCCAATTATTGTAGTTGTCTGTGGTAATTGAGGGATAGAATTAATTAAAGATAAACATTTTCTTTCTCCAGCATATAACTTTTAAATAAAAATTTCTTCATTTAAAATGTTAAAAAACCTTTTCATTAACAACAATACTTGATATCCAACACAAATTACCAGAATTATTAATTAAACACCCTTTAATCATTACTGCATTCCCGGGGATTTGGCAAATACTGTGTTTGGGGGAAATTGTACAAAGGGCATCTAGAATATTTAATTCGCTTAATTCTTTTTTATTTTGCGTTTTATCGAGCCAAAAATGAAGAAGATTCTTAAAAAAAATTTTTATTGAAAATTAAATTAGATTTTTATTTAATAGAGTTGGATCCAGGGCTGTCCGCAGTGAAAAAATAGCGTGATAATCCACAGACGCAATCCGCATTCCGCAAGTCCAAAAAACTAGGCAATTTACACAATCCGCAATTGCAGACAGCCCTAGTTGGATCTCACTCTAAGATAACCCTTTTAGCTGAAAAATCATATCTATAGTAGTGGTGTTTTCATCGGATAGAGGGATATCTTTTAGAAAGCTTCCCTCCACGTGGGAACCAGATATAAAAAAATTTATTTTAAATTGAGCTTCATTCGTATTGGGTATATGTATCCAAAAATATCTTTCTTTAAGAACTCCCAATATTATCTCTATTTACTGTAAATTTATTTTTATTTACCTTATCATCAGATTTACACAAAGGTTCTACATCTACACCTAATTCATAATTTTTAAATAAAAGTATTGCTGTAGCAATTACCTTTAAAATTATTTCTTATTTTAACTTTAAATATTTACAAACATTTGGTTTAATTCCTTTTTCATTTGTTAAATTAAATTGCCAAATTAAAGGTTCATTCGTCGAACCAGTATTTACCAAAAAACGATGAGATTCCTCATAAACAAAAGGGGATGTTTTTCCATACTTAATTAAAATTTGAAATATTTTTTAAATTCTTTTAGAGTCGAATCCCACTATAAAATACCCTCAATACTTCTATAAATTTGGGGGGTCATAAAGTTGGGTGTAGAGTTGTCGGTTTCACCAAATTCTTCTGGTAATCGAAACCGAACCGACAAACCGAACGAAAATCGTCAAATTTTCGGTTAGGTCGGTCTAAAACCGACAACCCTAGTTGGGAGCTCCCTAGGGGATACTCTCTATTTAATATACACTCATTATAGGACACATCTTCATTTCCAAGTATGTATTTTATAGTGAGGTTTGACTGTATTGTTTACTATAAAAAATATTTAATTAATTACTGTGTATTGAACCGCATAATATTTGCCCTTCTCTAATCCTTCCATAACAAAATTATTCTCATTATTTTCTGTACTAAATATAAATATATGTTTTTCAATCTAAAATTTTTGTACAACTTTTTAAATTAGCTTTTAAACTAGGCACCCAGACGATTCGAAGCGAGTATTTCGGGTGTATGCGGTTCTTTGAAAAATATATGTCTGGCATTTTAAACCAGGGATCCTGCCGGCAATTCCTTTTCTCGTAACTCGGTCGTCTAGATCCATGATATATTAATTTCGGAATTTCACCTCAAATATCTTACAAAAATCCTCAAATAATTTTAAACCAATTTTCTAATTAAGTACCTAAATGTTTTATTAAAACTTGTTTGATTCTTTCCCTCATTTCCTTCATTTTCTTCTTGTAATACCTCATTAACAGTTATTTTAACATATCCATTTAATTCATTATTTCCTTTATTTACCCCTTCACTATAATTTGTATAAATAATTAATTTATTATTTTTATTATTAAATTCATATCCAACAAAATTTCTTAAAAATGTTTTTGTATTTATCTAAAAAATAAAAATAAATATTTTTAAATATTTTCTATTTACTTTTCCCAATTCTTCACAATTTTGTGTTGCCGCTCTTCTAAATATTTTTAAATTTATTTCAGCAATTAATTCAACATTCCAACAAATTCTTTTTTAGAAAAATTAATTTTTAATTAATTTATTTATTTAAATTTAACCTTGTACAATTTTTTGGACTAATTAATACATTTATTTCTCTGTTATTTATATTTTTATTTTTTTCTTCATTTATTTCAAAATAATTATCCAACTTTAAAAATTGGAAATATTTATTTTTGTATACAGTTAAGTCTTAGTTTTGATATCCCCTTAGGGTTTAAAAATCGACCTTGTAATGAAGGTACCTTATAATAACAGACCACTTGGCTACACTACCTAACGACCATTTTTCCAAAGAAAGTTTCTTAAATAGAGGTGTACTCATTATTGGGTGTATCTTATAATGAAAGGTATCCTTAATAGAGGATATCGCTGACGCAATCCTACTTTCTAAAGTATCCAACTTTCTAAAAATAAGTTCCTTAAATAGGGGCTTATTGGGGGTATCCTATAATGAAGTTTTACTTTATTTTAAAATTAAAAAAATATAATTAAATTACATAAATTTCTAAGGATTTATTTTCTTCTTTTCCATTTAATTTTAATTGTTTATAATTTATCTGGTCATTACAAAATAATGTTATATTAGCTAAAGCATCCAAATTTTGTCTTTAAAAAATTAATTTAAAATTATTATTCTTAAAAACCTTTCTTCTTTTTGTTGTTCCCATTTAATTGTTAAAATTAAATTTTCAAGAGAATGCCCATTTTCTTGATTTCGTGAGGATCTTTTTTTTTTAATTATTTTCTGAATTATTTCCTACCTACCTAAAACTAATTATTGGCTTCCCCCCTTCTCCATTAATTCCTTCAGCTTTTTTTGTTTTTAATAAATAAAATTCTTCGTTGGCATAAATTGCCGTTCCTCCTCCATATCTTTTGTAAATAATTTATTTTTAAAAATTCCCTCTCTCTTACCTCTGTTCTGCGCGAAAATATACTCCATACCAATGATTTGGTTGTAACCAATTTATTGTATATTTACCTTTAATTGTTTAAGAAATTCTAAGGGAAAATTAGGGAAGATCGGGATATTAAAATTTTAATTTTTTCCTTAAATTTAGAGTCGTTGATTAAATTTTCGAGAGAATGCCCTATCCATTTATTAAAAATACCTCTAGTAAGGGATGGCCGAAATAAAATTTTTTTATTTCGAATCGAAACGAAATAAAAAATTTTTCATTCCAAAACGAAACAAAAGAGAAAAAAGGAAAGCAAAATTGCAAAACCCGAAAGCAAAATTTTTAATAAATGGATAGAAGGGATCTTCTCAATCATATCCAAATAGGGATGTTCATTCCTTTGTCAAATTTAAATTTAATTGTCTAAATTTAAGGATTGCTTCTTTTATATTTAATACTCAATTTATCAATACTCAATTTATTTTCAATACCTCTAGTAAGCAATAACAAAATTCCAGTTAAATTCATATGTGGCAATACTTCCCCACTTTCAATATCAACAATTTGTATCTATTTAATTAATTATTTTTCTAATATTCTAAATTAAATCACCGCTACTCTAGCCATATCTGGAGGTCCTTGTCTAGTCGTTATTATAATTATTTGATTAGAAGAAACATCGATAGATTCAATCTTTTTTTTAAATTTATTTATTTTAAATTAAAAAAATAAAAACTTGGTCAACTAATTCATTCATTTTATTGTTTATATTGACAATAGGGGAGGGAGGGGGAGAACTAGAAAATAATTGTTCTTCATCAGAAATGGTTTGGGACATTTTTAGCCAAACAAATAAACAGAAAATAATTATATTTTTTAATTTAAAATTTATCAGATAAAATTCCATATATTCTTAAATTATCTAAATAAAATTTAAAAATAAATATTTTTCTTGAAGAAAAGTAAAAGAAAAATGCTTCCAAAAAATCCTCAAAAAAGGATAAAGAGTATTTACCTGTGCCAACCCGATAGGCATGCGGAAACTAACAATTTTAAATAAAAAAAGGAAATAAATAAAGCGAGGGTGTATGGGATAAATAAAAGAATAGTAAAATAAATGTGTATTTTTTGTAAAAGAAAATTTTGGAAAAATATTTGGAGAATAATTTAATAATTATTAAATTAACAAAAAATTAAAAATATTTTAACAGATAGGTTCATGGTCATATCAATCACAATTCGTTAGATTTTCTGTTGATTCAAGTGAAGTATTTCTTGGTGATTTTTATGACAATCAAGAATGGCTTTTGGTAAACTAGAAATATTTTTTTTATTTTTTATGCTTCTTATCTTATTGGGAAACGAATTCAGAAACAATATTTTGGGAAGTGAATAATTTTCGAATTTTATGTCATATAAATAAGGGTGCCTTACCAAATTTAGCAAATTTTCGGTTTTTCCGGTATCAACAACTGACAACCTTATATTCATAAAAATTTAAAAAAATAATTTGTAGATAGATGCAATAATGCAAAACGGAACAATGGAATATTTGGGAAACGAATCATTTTCGATGGTTCAAATTATTTTAATTTTGAGAAGACAATCTTTTTATTATGTTTTTAATTTAGTTTTTCCAACAACTTTGGTAAATTTTAATTTTAAAATTTATTTTAAAATTTAAATAAAGGTATCGCTTGTTGCTGTTATTGGTTTTCATGCTCCGATAAATGCTACTGGAAGAAGGGAAAGTAAATTTCGTTTAGGTGTTATGACTTTGGTAAGTTTTTTAGAAAATATTTTGCATAGAAAATAGAAAATATTTGATCACTCGTGGACGTGATCGATGTGGGAAACTCAGAACTAAACCAGCGAATGTTAAACTTTTTGATTTATGCCACCATAAAAGCCAAGATACAATCCAACTCTAATGAAAAAATAGAAAATAAAATTTTAATTGAGCCTTTATAATTTTTTAAATTAATGCTTATGGTCACGGTTTTCCTCAAAAATTACTGAAAAATTACTCTAATATAAAATGAGATAATTTTAAATGAAATATTTAAATATTTAGTTGAGTTTATCAGTTATGTTATTAATGCTTGTTGATGAAATGAAATTTGCTCTTGAATCAATTCCTGGTCAAAGAGGGTCATTTTCTGATGTTCCTTTAATTGGTTTTTAGGATATTTTTAAATAAATTATTCATTTAAAAAGGTATTTATTACATGTCTTTAATTTTAACAATTTCTGTTGCTACCTGTACCTCTTCTGTTTTTGTTCATTTAGAGAAATATGGCCTTAGAAATTCTGGATTTGCTGTTTGTTTTTATTATTTTTTTAAATTACCCAAAATTCTAATAAAATCAAGATACTATCGAACCTCATTTTAGCTACTCTAAAAATTAATTAACATCAGTTTAGGATACTTTTGTTGGTCACAGAGTGGGGGCGATTGCCTAACCATTACTCTCTATTTAGGGCTCCCTTTATTATAAGGGATGTTTTTCCAGCTTCTAGAAGGAAACTAGAAAAATATTCCACTAGTTAATATTTAACGGGAAATGATTTTTCTAGAAATTATGCAGAATTTTTTTTTATTTTTTAGTCCATTCCCAACTTTTTACGATTTTTATCGGCAGAAAAATTATTTTGTTGTTATGTCCCTCGAAAAGTTAGGCTAAATAAAGGTGAAAGAATTAAAAGAAATAAGGTGAATATTTGAAATTTAATTTAACGAAATATTATTTTTCTATAAAGAATATCCGTTGTAATCATTTTCAATCAACTTCAATGGAATTTAGTACAATGGCCCCAAATGAAGTAATTTTGTTAATTAAAGAATTATAATAATTTTTAAAGTTAAATTTTACTGAATTTCAAAAAAGAGAAGCTAAACAACAACAATCAACAACTAATTTAGGAGAAAATTCTATAGATCCAATGATTGTTAGTTCTACATCTACAGCACCTTTATTGTTATTGGGTAGTGGGGGAGTAAGTGGTGGAATTAATGAAGGAGGATCTAGTAATTGTAATTTAATATTTTGTTCATTAAAAATTGTGGAGGGAGGGTGGGGGGGGGGTGATCGTTATTTCAAGTCTTGACACAGAACCTTACATAGCACAGAACCTTACTTGAACCTTACATAGGACCTTGATTCATAAAAAATTACATATATCATACAATGAGGTGTATTTTTAATTGAAATATTCTTTAAAAAATTTATTTTTAATTGAAATTTCTATCTAATTTAATTTAAATAATCTTGAGGTTTATCTTTATTCATTTTTTCCTTATCTTTGTTCAATCAAAACTAGAATAAAATTATACCCAGTAACTAGGGATGTGCTCGTTTAGCTTAATAACACGTTTTTTGCGCATTCGTTTCTTGCATATTTTAAATATTTAATTGTGTTTCGGCATACGCCTATCACTAGTGGGTGGAAGTTCGTACACGTACCTGTGTACGAAAGTACGTATTTCAAAATTCCAACCTCCTCCTCTACTTGTAATCCCTTTCTCACTTATTTTTATCTACTTAGTTCCTTATTTCTGATTTATCCCTATTATTACTTGAGGAAAACCCCTTTCAAAAAAAATCGAAAAAGATTTATATTTAAATTTTCTAGGTACATTATTAGAAAATCAAAGGCTGGATTGTAAATTAGATTTACTTATTTCACTTTTAAGAGAATTATTAGAGGTAATTAATTAAATAAAATTATTTTTTTAATTTCAAAATTTTAAAAGATTCGTCGAGAATTAAAAACTAAAGGTCATTTACCAATTTATTGGGAACGAGTAATTAACAGATTGGAATATTGTAGTCTTTGGTTTTATCTTTCAATACTTGCTTTGAATCTGTAAATTATTTTAATTTAAAATTAATTCATTAATTTTTTTAGTTTTCTTTTTATGTACCCAGAACTTTGGTATTAAAAATTAAATAAGACGGAAATAGAATTTTTGACTTTTTATTAAATCCCAAAGGAAAAGTGCCAAAAATATGTATATTTATATTTGTTAAATGCATCATTAAATATAAACTTTTTCCTTTTTTGGTGGAATTTGAAGAAAAAAATCATTAAATGTGATAAAAAAATAAATTTATATTTTATATTGATTTACATATTTAAAAAAATAAATTATATTTTTTACTATTAAATTATTTTAAATCGGTGGTCATCTACTTATATGTATTATGTATCAAAACAACGGATTTTTAAACCAGGTAGCGAACCGATATAAAAATAAAATTCCCGAGTTCGGAAATTTTCAGGATTCAGGACGCTCTTTCCCTGTTACATATAAAATCACACTGCCCTTTGAAATATTAAAAGTGAAGATTAGTGAAGATTAGATCTACTAGTGAAGATTAAAACTAACTAATAAACTTGTTAATGAGGAAAATATTTGAGAAAACTAACCGTTTCGGTGTCTGAATCCAATTAAAGATTTGAATTGTCATTTATTAATCGGTTATTTTAATAAAACTTTATCGATAAAATTTTCGCTATTCACAGGAAATAGCGATAAATAACAAGGTATGTAAAATGGCTGGGAAAATTCATTAACACATAATACTCACCCATGTCTCAGGCAATCAACGGATATGCCTTAAATTTTAGAATGATTTGTTTGTCCACAGCTTTGAATTTTGCGAGTTTTTGTTGTTGTGTTTGGCGTTGTGTTTATTTTTTAATAAAAATGACAGAATGTCCCATAAATAGTGTGTATTCTGAGAAAGCAAGAAAGTAACGTGTATTTTTCAAATTTGTTTTGTATTCTTTTTTTTTTGTTTTTCATGGGGCAAGCCCCTCCGCTAGTTAACAAAAATTTATTTATTTTTAGAAACAGTCGACTCCAGAACAGACTGATCAAAATTTTATTGAACGTCTTTATTACGTCCCAGGCCGGATCCTTGCTCAACCAAAAGATGTGAAAAAACAAAAGGATGATGAGTATGCTGTGAAACGCTGGTTCTTAGGTAAGTCAGAGATATGGAACTTACCATAATGGTGACCAATTTATCTTAAAAAACTGTCCTAAATGAAAATTTTGAAAGGTTTTTAAACTTTGACACCGGAAATTTTACGACCGATTACGGTCACGTTCTACTATTAAGCAAAGCCAAAAATAAGTTTTGTTAACTTTCAGATTCCTGTCGTGCAGATGGAATAACGTTTATTCGTCAACAGTTTGTTAATCAATTGAATCCGTACTCTCTGAACTCTACAACAACAGCATTTAACAATCCTGCAAATGAGGAGTTTATACGTTATTCCAATGTGCCGTTGGCTGATCAGCCGCGTGTCATATTGAAGAATGGATATAAAGGCAAGTAGAATAAATCTATTTTCTAACAAAGAAAAATATGAATTTTTAGGACATGATTTCATACACGCGTCCTATGTTCAAGGAGCTGATTATCCGTTGATCTTGACACACTGTCTTCATAATTATCAGAGTTGTTATCAGTTCTGGACAATGGTCTTTGAGACTAAATCTAAGGTAAATGACTAATATCTACGTTTGTAACGAAACAAATAATTTTTATTTAGATTATCGTTCAACTTAATGAAGAAGAAATCAAATATATTGGAAAAGAAAAAATGGAATATGGAACAATTAAAGTAAAAGGACGGATGAATGCTTTGACATCAAATACTGAAGTTAAAAAAACGTTTTGGAATTATCTGGAAAGAATGGAGGTGAGAAATTTAAAAAAAGACATTCCATGGATTCCATTTTATAAATATAAAGTATACCTGAGGAAGGGTCTTGATAGGCAGTTTTAATACTCAAAGCTCTAAGAACCATTAAACGAGCCTTTGATGCAGGGATGCATGCAATTGTAGAAAATTTCCGCAAACGCAATCCGCAAGTCAAAAAAAACAGGCGATTTTACAAAATCTGGGGATATAAGGGGTAACAATACAACATTGTGAAAGAACACAAGTTTGGAGCGTATGGTCTAATTTTTGGTTCAGTTAGCTGAAATTTCCGGAATTTGAGGTTTCTGGATGTCTCCCCGATAATATAATACTTCAAGTTAGAAAAACAAATCTTTCAGTATTTTATATAAAAAATATTAGGTATTGCAAGAAATATATACATACATATATTATTATAAGATAATTGAACAATACAGCATTTGTGAAAGACACAACACAAATATAGTTGGTGATTATAATTAAGTATTACAGAAAATAGGGTAATACATATATTTAGAATAGAATATCCAACAATAGATTTGTGGAAAAGACAATCAACACAAGGGAAGGAAATGCCTATAATATGTACACAACTCACAAACACCTAAACAAAAACAGCATATCACTTTATTTCGCCTTCTTCTTATCCATTTTATTAGCAGCAGCCCTCTTCTCTTCACGTTTTCGATTCATTAACAAATCATACTCCTTATTGAAGGCCTTCACCTCCTCCTTATCGCTTTTATCAATCAGTCCCTTCCAAATAGCTGCATCGACAATTGCCTTGTGAACGAAGAGATACTGAAAAAAGATTATCTTTATTTTTGATTTTTAAAAAAAATTCACTTGCAGGTCCGTTTGAACAGCCATGGCTCGCTGCTCTCTCAAACGTAAGAAAATAGTTCCGATTTTGACATGGTGGTTGAAACTGATTAAATGCTTATATGCCAATTCAATACAAGCAAAAGCCCCACTTCGGCCTATAAACTGAAGATTTTAAAATTGCTACAAATACAAAATCAAAACTAACCAATCCCAGCGTTACAATGCACGACGACTGAGCATTTATATTCAATAGCCAGTCGATGTACACAACTTCTAAATACACAAAATAATGTTGGAAAAGTAGGACCTTCGCTCTCTGGCCAACCTGTATAGAGCAGATGAATTACCTTAAAAATAAGAGGGTTTATTTTTAAATGTGATGCCCTAATCCTAATTTTTATTGGTAGATGAATTAATTGCCTTAAAATAGAGCAGATGAATTACCTTAAAACTAAGAGGGTTTATTTTTAAATGCCAATAAAAATTAGGATTAGGGCATCACATTTAAAAATAAACCCTCTTATTTTTAAGGTAATTCATCTGCTCTATACAGGTTGGCCAGAGAGCGAAGGTCCTACTTTTCCAACATTATTTTGTGTATTTAGAAGTTGTGTACATCGACTGGCTATTGAATATAAATGCTCAGTCGTCGTGCATTGTAACGCTGGGATTGGTTAGTTTTGATTTTGTATTTGTAGCAATTTTAAAATCTTCAGTTTATAGGCCGAAGTGGGGCTTTTGCTTGTATTGAATTGGCATATAAGCATTTAATCAGTTTCAACCACCATGTCAAAATCGGAACTATTTTCTTACGTTTGAGAGAGCAGCGAGCCATGGCTGTTCAAACGGACCTGCAAGTGAATTTTTTTTAAAAATCAAAAATAAAGATAATCTTTTTTCAGTATCTCTTCGTTCACAAGGCAATTGTCGATGCAGCTATTTGGAAGGGACTGATTGATAAAAGCGATAAGGAGGAGGTGAAGGCCTTCAATAAGGAGTATGATTTGTTAATGAATCGAAAACGTGAAGAGAAGAGGGCTGCTGCTAATAAAATGGATAAGAAGAAGGCGAAATAAAGTGATATGCTGTTTTTGTTTAGGTGTTTGTGAGTTGTGTACATATTATAGGCATTTCCTTCCCTTGTGTTGATTGTCTTTTCCACAAATCTATTGTTGGATATTCTATTCTAAATATATGTATTACCCTATTTTCTGTAATACTTAATTATAATCACCAACTATATTTGTGTTGTGTCTTTCACAAATGCTGTATTGTTCAATTATCTTATAATAATATATGTATGTATATATTTCTTGCAATACCTAATATTTTTTATAAAATGTTGAAATATTTGTTTTTCAGACTTTGAGTGTGTTTATCGTTGGGACATTCAAAAACCTAAAATTTTTGAAATTTCAGCTAACTGAACCAAAAATTAGACAATACGCTCCAAAAAAGGGGTTTTTTGATTATGGGACTTATAATGAGTGGGACTCATATATTATGGGACTCATATAGTGTCTAAAAAAGGCTAGGTTTAAATGACTAAATATTTATTTTCTCCGAAATTTGAATTAATAAAATAAATATATTTTATGCAAAATATATTAATTTAGTAATTCTTTTTTTGGTATATTTAAAAATAAATATGTTAATATTATTATTTATTTATTTATTAAATTATATTTAAAATGTGTATAGTTATTTCTGTTTAATTGTTTGAATAATTTTTATTTTTACTAAATAATTGTGGAAATATTTGGAAATATATTTTAATATTTATTCGTTCATCAATCCAACATTTCAGCCCCGACAAAATCCCTACCTAAATTTTAACCCAAAGGTAGATATTAAAGATTGAGATTTTTGAAAAGCTTGTACCTGTTTCTGGACTCTTGAGTTTCATTATTGACCTGGGGCAGATCCTGGGCCTGTCGTCCAGGAAAAACCCAGAAAGGTCAAAAAATGACTGGACCTTGACACTGGGTACAGTAAAAACCCAAGCCTTGGTCCAGGCCCAGCTTGAAGTCTACTAGATAATAAATAAAGGTTATTTACTTATATTTCTTTTTTTTTAATTTTAAGAATTTTTATTAAATTATAGCTTGTCTTCTAATATTTTTTTAAACGGATATACTCTAAATGTTAAATAACTTTTCTATTCTTTAGTTTATTTTTTATTTTCTCTTAATTTTTTGATCAATTTAGGTATTTAATTTTTTTTTATTTTTAAATTTAATATAACAAATATCTCCACCAACTTCTCAACCTCAATAACCACCCTAGATATTTTTTTAAATATTTTTTTAATTATTTTTTTCTATATTTATTTATTACCTTTAACAAATACTTAAAGCTTTTACAAAAAGAATTTTTTATATTTCCTTTTCTAATAAATCTTTATTCGTTTTTTAATGTATTATTTTTATTTTATACACACAAATACTTAAAAGAATATATAAATGGAAAGTTTTAATAAAAAAAATATTTATTTTGTACAAAGGTTAAAATAAATAAATTTAAGGGGAAAAATATGTATATTTTTTGTAAATTTATTTTTTATTTTCTCTACTTAAATTTAAAAAAAATATTTTTAATTTTTAGGGGTACACCCCAACTTACCGCAGAGCTATATCTTCGTTCAGAATTGTCGAATCCGGGACGACCTAGTATGGTTCGATTCAGCTCGTCGAGATGCATCGAAACATACCAAGGCGTCCCGGATTCGACCATTTTGATCAAAGTTATAGCTTTGCGGTACGTTGGGCTCGCGGTACGTTGGAGTTTACCCGTATAGAAAATTCCAAAAAAAATTTAGTTACCATTTTGTATTTAATTTATTAAAAAAAATTATTTTTTATCAAATTAAATGTCTATTCATTTTTAAAAAAAATTTTCTTTTATTTAAAAAACCCCTCGCTTACCTACCTACTTTATATTTTAATTATTGTCTCAGCATTTGTTCAACTTAAACACGAAATTATTTAAATAAAAAATCTTTTCTTTCCAAAAAATTTATTCAAAAAAATTTTTTTTGTTAAAAAAATATTTAATTTCTAGTATTCTTTAGTCAACCAACACCCACACACTCACAAAAATTTTTTTCAATTTTTTTCTCTCAATTAATTAATTTCCGTTAAAGCTTTAGTGTATATTATTCCCAAAACAATTTCCTTTCTACTTTTTTTATGTCCATTTTTGCATTGAAAATAATTAATCATTTTATTAATTTTATAAATTAATTTTTATTTTATTTTTATTTAATTATTTCTTTTTCTTTTTTAAAAATTAAAAATAGTTTTTCCCATAATTTAAACCAAAAAAAACATTTTTAATTTTGAGTAATTTAATTTAAAGGAAAGAAAGTAATTTTATATTTTCTAAAAATATTTTTAAAAGCTAAATCCTCATTAATTTGAACAAAAATTGTGAAAAAAGAAGACTTTTGAACGGGATATTTTTTAGCTTATTTTTTAATATTTAATTATTATTTTAAATTGAAGCAATCAATTAAAAATTTAAATTAATTTATGTAAAAATAATTTTCAAAAATTATTTTGAAAAATAAGACAGTAGTGTTGGGAACGATTCGTTACTACCGTCAGTGCCGGACTGGTACTGATACAGTACCGGTAAGATTTTGCGATTTTCGGCACTTTTCAGTACCACCGGTACCGGAAAATCCATTTGTTTAACACTAAAATAAAGTAAAAATATCTATTTTTAATTTAATACCTACCAAAGATGATCTTTGCCACTTTTTATAAAGCAGAAGAGGGAAGATTGGGTCGATCGGAATTTCGATTTCCAACTTTTGAGCTTTCCGATTTCCGACAGTTCCGATTTCTGTCACCTTCGTCATCTCCGATCGACCCCTGGAGGGAAGGTAGTAGCCGAAGAGATTTAACATCCCTAATAAAGATAGGTATCCCTTCCCTTATATTAAAATGACACCAAAAATTTCTCTAACCATTTAGAAAGCAACTTTTATTTTCACGTTTCACGTTATTTATATGTTCACAAAAATAAATAAATTTTTTTGGATTCCCCAAATTTTCCCGTAAAAATTTTCTCAGGCCTCCCCTCCCCTTGGGGAATTGCATTGACTAAATGACAGTCAGTTTAATACAAATTTAATAGTATTTGTGTTTTAGTAATTATTCTCTCTTTTTTTCTATTTCTATACATTAAAACTGCCCCCAACTGTGCCCAGACTTTTTTTTATTTCCTCAAAAAATTTGTTTCTAAATTTAACTTTTATTTTATGACCATTTTAAATTTATTTAAATTTTTAATTTCCAATTTAATCCCTTCTGTGAACTATTTAACAGAAAAAAAGACATTAAAAATCAAATAAAATAAAAAAGAAAAAAAATTTATTTGGTCTGTTCTTAAATAAAATATACCCCCTAAAGACAAACTATTTAAAAACAATTTTGCCTTAAGCCTCTCGGCTTTAAGTAAATTTTTTTCTTTTTTTATTGTTTATTCTTTAATAAATGATTGTAGTATATGAGTAAAAAATTTTTATTATTTTTTTTAATAATTTATTTTTTACATTTTTTTACATGAAATTTTCTTTTTAAAAAATTTTGGTACTTTTCCGTTATATGACCGCAAACTGAGTTTCAGCCGAATAACTTTTTAATGCTTGATCCAATACAAATGAATTTTATATTATTCGAAAACCATCGATAAGTGGTATCTTTTTTCCAACTTGATGGATCAAGTCTGATCACCCATTAAAAAGGTATAACTCGTTAAATTTGAAAACATCAAATAACTGGACCTATTTGGTTATAACTTTTTAATGAGTGATCAGATTTTATCTATCCTATTAGAAAAAATTTTCGAGGGCTTTCGAATGATATGAAATTCGTTTGTATTGGATCAAGCATTAAAAATTTATAGCCGATCAAATTCGACTGCCATCAGTTTGCGGTCGTATAACGGAAATGTACCAAAAAATTTTCAAAAAATTTTTTCAAGTAAAAAATCATTTCATATTTCCTTTAAAACCGCTTCCACCTATTTATTTCCAAAAAATAATATTTACTTTTTAAAAAAACTTTTTAAATAAATTTTTTTGCCCTTTCCAGTCTGTCAGTCACATTTTGACATTTATTAGCTATTTATTTATTTTTAATACTTTTTTAAAGAAAACAAATTTAAAAGAAAAAGCTCTTTTATTAAAATATTTTCTCATTATTTTTATTTAAAAATGTCTAGGTTAGGTAGGAGGGACATTTAATGTCTTGAATTTGTTTAAAATTAAATTTTTATTTTTTCTTTTTTTTTGAATATTTGAAAGACATTTTATTCTAATTTAGTTAAAAAACAGGAAGTAGTCTACAATTAAAAAAAATAATTTTTAATATTAAATTAGATACTCTTTTTATTAAGTAACTTGATCCGAAGAATATTTAAAAAAACTTTAAAAAATTATTTTTAGAAATTTATGCTATCACTTAATTTAACAAAAAATAGAAATTTAGTTTTAAGGGATAAATTGATATATTCTGAATTTACTTCTCCATTTTTCAAAATTCTTCTAGTGGGAATTCTGCTGACACCGTTCACTACAGATGTCCAAGACTCTTGGTCTTCACTTGACTCAAGCTTTTCTCGACTCAAGACTTTTCTTGGGTCTTCTTCGGTCTTGGTCATTGGGGTGTGGTCTTGGTCATGGTCTTGAATCTTGAGTCTTGGAAAATTTTCGTTCTTGGACATATCTTGGACATCTCTATAAAGCGATTTTACGTTGATCCTTGCTAAGTAATTATTTTCTGTATCCAGTAGACTCTTCAGAATCTTTTCCTTCCTATATCCTTTTCTTCAGAAATCACCTCAAGATATTTTATAGACATTTACGTCACAGATTTTTTTATTCATTTATAAGACATTTTATTCATTTTATTATACAAAAAATATTCAAAAGAAGCCAAAATATGTACTTAATAATTTCTTTAAAAAACTCCATTTTCTTTTAAATAATTATTTTTATTTTTTAAAAACAATTTAAAATTTTTTCCGGTTTTCTAAAAAAAGTTTTTTTTAACTTTTTAAAAATAAATCCAAATATTTTTTATCAATTTGCCAAAAACAAAAACGGCAGCAATTATTTAACAGTCCAGTAAATAAACCTTTTTTTACTTTTTTTAAAAATTCTTTTCAAGCAATTATTCTCTCCTCTACTCTTAAAAATACTTTTCCTTTCAATTTTCTCTTTTTTGTCAGTTTCAGAAAAATATTTTTTCTTTCTTTTTAGAATTCTTCTATGTTTTTTAAGTTTTTTTAATTTAAAATAAAATAAATAATTATTTTTAAAAATTATATTATTAAATGTTTTTCTGACAAACTAAAAAAGGGACGGGCCGTTTGGCGCGAGCTTATAAAACAGTGAGTTGCTTATCAAAAAAGATAAAATTTTGCAATAATAACTCTCGCATCTTTATCTAAGTTCACTAAAAATTTCAAAATTTTTGATCAAGGATTTCAAAAATTGTGGCCAAAAATGTTGATTTTCTGAAAAATGCCTAATTTTTCGAAGTCTATCGACTATACCTTCAGAAATATTTGATGAAAAATTTTTAAATTTCTGGAGGAGGTAGTCAAGGATGTTAAAGAAATTTGAGAAAATTTTTTCTGAATTTAGGTCTCGCCTAAATGCCAGTTTTCAGTTATCGCGCCATACGGCCCGGCGCCAAAACGACCCCAACCTACTAAAAAATACATAGATAATTAATTATTTAAAAAATATTAAATTATTTTTTTAATTTTTGATTTTTTGGACTTAAATTAATGAGAATTATAAAATAATTAATTATTTTATTAGTAAGCAAAAATATTTTTTAATTTTTTTAAATAAAATTTATTCTTTATTTTAATATTTTGACTCTTTAAATATTTTTTCTATTTTTAAATTTATTTTTTTTAAATATCCATATCATTTAAATCTTTATTTGAAATTTAATATTTTATATAAAAAGACTAAAAATATAACTTTACTCAATATATATTGCTAAAATTGTTGTGATGAACATTTGTTTTAAATTTTGAAAAAAAAAGTTTAAAGATTAGAAAAGTAAAAATACATTATAAAGATTATTTTTACATTAATTATCAACACTTTTTTTTTAAAATTGAATAAAAAAATTTTCTAGACTAGTTTTTTTGCAGATTCTTTCAACCCAACAATTTACTCAATTAGATAAACAACTTTTTGAAAAAAAATATTTTTTTAATAAAATAAATTTGTTCTTTTTTGTTTAAAATATATAATTATTTAAGAATTTTTTTCTTAAATTAAAAAAAAATTTTTCATTTCTTAGTTTTTTCTGTTAAGAGGCAAAAGAACAATAAATTATTTTTTAAAATTACTTAGGTTGTAAACAAATTTTAAGAGTTTTAAGTTAAAGAATTTTTTCCTAGAGTTTTAAGCCCCTAGGGTTTTCTACATATATTATGTACCTTATTCTTCGAATTCTTCTCTATCAGAATCTCTTTCAGTTTTCTATTTTACACGTTTATTAAGAAGTGAAAAATTAGTTAGTTTCAAAAATTCAAATTTTTGTATTTTACCTCTAGATCCTGTCAACTTAATCCTATGACTCTGATTTTTCGCTCAAAAATAGACAACTCTCTTAAGAACATAAAGAAAAACAAATTACATTTTGAATACATTTTGTTGAATTTTAATAATTATTTAAAATGAGCTTCACACAAGGAGGGCTTAAAACTTAGTTTACAACCAATAATAATTCAAAAAAAGTTTCCTCAAATCCTTTAATTTCTAATAAATTTATTTTAATATTTTGGCAACATTTATTGAAAAAAGATTTTCTTTTTTAATAAAACAATTATTAAACATTATTTTAGTTTTAAGAATCTCTTCATAAAATCTTTAAAAAAATTTTGAAAATGCTTCTTTTTGTTATATTTACTATGACACACAATTCTCAAATAAATTTATAATTTTCTAAAAAAGAATTTTTTTAATAAAAAAATATTAAAATAAAATTGAAGAAGCCTTTAAAATATTTTTATTTTTATTAAAAAATATTAATTAAAAATGTTAAAAAAATTTTATTAACTTAAATTTAAAAATAGATTTATTTTAAATCAATACAAAATTTAAATATTTTTAAAAGAAATATTTTAATTGTTTTTAAAAAACAATTTCTTTCTTTCTCTATTTAAAAAATAAAAGGACAATAAAAACAATTGTTTTAAAATAATGAGAAAATAATTAAATTATTTTGTTTTACTTAATTTATTTTTTAGTTAAAACAGAATTTATTTATTATTTATTTAATTGTAATAAATACTGGGGAAATAGGTATTGGATAAGGAAAATACTGTATAACCGTATCAACTGCTCTACCCTAATAATTACCCCACTTCTACTTTAGCCCCTCCGGCGATAGATTGAATTAATAAATATTCCCCTCCATCAAGTACCCTAAAACACGTTTAAATTTCAAACCTCAAATCTCAAACCTTCCCTCAATTAATTACTCCCTTCAGCGAAAGGTCAAAACAATTATTACCCAGGATAATTATTCAAAATTTAACATTATTATCTAAAAACTCTCCAAAAGTTTTTTTGAGATATCTATCTCGAATCTCAATCAAACAATGAATTAATCTCTAAACTAAATTAAATAAACAAATTTCTTTTTTAAGGAAATTTTTTATTATGTAAATACTCTTTAAAATAATTTTTAAATTTTATTTTGTTGAAATTTTTAATTATTTATTTTGTTAGGTAGAAATTATTTTTTAAAATCAAAAAAAAATGTTTTTTTTATTTTTACTCAAATTAAAAATATAATTTTATTTATTTTTATTTTTTGTTTTTAATTTTCATAAAAGATCACAATGCTTTAAATTTAATTGATTTTTAAAAATACGTTGGCAAATAATTTATTTAAGTAATTAATAAATAAAAATAAAATTAAAAAATTAAAAATTAACAACAACTGTTTATATTTTATTTTTAAATAAATACTAGAAATCTTTCACAGATATTTTTTATTTTTGCTTAAATTAAAGAGAATTTTGTGTCATTTACAAGAATATTTATTTTTTCTATTTTAATTTATTTTTTTGTTTAATAATTTAGTCATCAATCTCCTCTTTATTTAAAACTAAAGCATCATTTGTCAAAAATTTATTTAAAAAAATTTATAATAATGAAATAATAATTAATACTATTTTATAGTGTTGCGAGAAATTCGGAAATAAAATATGAGAAAGAATTTATATTTTAATTGTAAATAATTTATTTATTAAAAAAATTATTTTTTAATATGTATGTATAATTTAAATAAATATACTTTTAAAATCCTTTATTTTTTATTTTATTTAAAATTACTTATATATATATCAACGATGGGCCTGGTCGAGAAAAGAGTCTATTCGGATTTCGAATCGTATTTAAAATTTTTCTTTGTATCGAGTTTTAGATTCCGGGTCGAGAAAAGACTGGGTTTCGACACTAGGATCGGGGTTTTGGGCACTCGGCCCATCCCTTCTGTATTTCATCAATTTAATTTTTAATATATATTTTATCTTCTTTTTCTCTTTTTAAATTTATTTTATTTTTAAATCTTTTCCTGATATTCTCAATTAATAAAAAAATTGTTTTATTTTTAAGGCAATTAATTAATTTTAAATAATATTAATTATTTGATGGATTGGTCTATCTGTACTTTAACCTCCCGGGGCACTCGAATTTGCCCTGGAGGTACTGAATATTTTATAAGAAATGTATATCCACCTATTCAAGTAATTAATTAATTGTATTTTAAATTAAAAAATTTATTTCCTGTAAGGAACTTCAACCAAAAGTATTGGCTGTTGTAATTATTTTTACTTTATGTTTGGTTGTTGGAATATGTGGAAATGGTTAGTAAATAAATTTAGTTCTATCATGGTTACGGATAATGTCCATAAGCCAGTAGATACGTGTGGATATGTAGATGAAGGTATATCCGCCGGATATCTGCATTATCCACTATGATTTCGTCTTCTAGAATATGATTAATGAAGGATATAGATAAGAAAAATGTCTGCAGATACGTGGGGGCTATGGAGATAAATTCATATCCGCCGGATATCTGCATTGCCTGCTATGCTTCTTATCCTTCTAAAATTCTAAAAAAACTCTCCAACGGACATACCCAAGTACAGATATGTCTAATAATATCCGAACCGTGATCAGACCTAATATAAAATCAAAAAATGTTTTTATCTTTCTTTTTTAAGCATCCGTTTTAACTTTAATTTATGGAATGATTAAAGGAATTCAGCCGAAAAATTCTTCACGTACCGGGCATCTTCCTAATTCTCAAAGGAGTACAGACAACACTATTTTATATATTGCCGTAAATTAATTAATTACCTAAATATTTTTCATATTATTTATTTATTTAGGCTCTTTGTGTTGTTGATTTTTTAATGTCTTTATCTTTACCTCCGGCTATTTTGGTAAATTAAAAAAATTTTTTTGGTATTTTCCGGGAATTCTATATTTTCTCCTTTCATAAAAATATTGCAAATAGCCAAATGTGTGAGGTATATAAAATATAATATGTAAAAATTAACTTTAATAAGTTGAAAAAAAAGAAAATAAGTTGTCCTTCGATGCAGAGGTGTGTCGGAATTACGATTTCCGACGTTTTTTTCCTTCCGATTTCCGAAAAAAAATTTGTTTTCCGATTTCCGAGTTCTGATTTTTGAGCCAGTTCCGATTTCCGACTCTTCCGATTTCCGACACTTCTGACTGTTCCGATCCACCTCTGCTTCGATGCCACACTTTTATTATTTTCTTTCCAATCCATTTAATCAACTTTTTATGATCAAGCTAAGATCTAACTAAATCTAACTAACTAACTAAAGATCTAACTAACAATAAGCTTTGATCATTTTTATTTGCAATATTTTGAAGAAAAAGGAAAAGGGGAAAAAATATTTAATTTTTTTAACTATCGAAAAAAATATTTTTTTTAATTTTTAAAATAAATTAAGGATAGCATAATTGGTTTTTGGATGTTTGGAACCCCAATATGTAAATTGTAAATATAAATTTTAACAATTATTTTTCAAAATAATTTTAAAAAAGGCATCACATTTTTGGTTCTGTTGGAAGAATTGTCTCAACATTTATAATAACGGCAATGTCTTTTGACCGTTGGGTTGCTGTTTGCCATCCCTATAAACGAAAATTTCGTTCAAGAAGATTTGTTCTTTGCACTATTTTTGGTAAAAAAATTTGAAAAAAATTTTAAATAAATTTTTCTTATTTATTTGTTAGCACTTTGGTTAATTGCTTTCCTTCTTCTTTTGCCAATGCTTACATATGCTAGGGCAAATGAAATTCTTGTAATTATTTAATTTTAAATAAAATAATATTAGTAATTTATCTAAATATCTATTTAACAATAAAGTAAATAATTTTTGATGGTAAGGATTTAGAAAAGGTTTAAAACCGATCACCCTCCGTTTTTAATAATTTTCTAAATCGGCTTTGATCCTTTAAAGCCAAGCTCCATCTTTTAAATTTTGGCTTTATAAAATCGGATTAGTTTTACCAAAATATCGCTTTTGGTTTCAAACCAGTCTTGAACTACTTTAGTTAAGAGGATTAGAGAGAATAATTCTAAAATTATTTTTCCTCGAAGATAGAATAAATAATTTTACAAACACGGTTATGTATTTTTTCTATTACCTAAAGTTACACCAACTTCGCCAACCAGATCCAGTATTAGGCATTACAAATATCACTCGAGTACGTGTTTATAAGTATGTTTTTTCTTTAAGTTTACTAAAAATATTTAAATATTTTTAGATGTTCTGATATGTTACCTCCACTAGTTTTTTATTGGTAAGAATTATGATTATACAAGATCGTTTAAAAGACAGTAAAAGACCCATTTCCGGTTCGGTTTTGGGAAGAAAATAAAATTTAGTATACTTGAAACCTTCCCAGGCTTCTTTTCACTCTGTTCCGTCCCTGACGGTAATTTTTGAGTTGTTTATAATTAGTTTATAAATTATTTCTGTCCCATTTCCGGCCCGGTTTTGGAAAAATTAAATTTAGTGTACCCGAAACCTGGATCTTTTTCGACCCAAAATCCGATTTTTTCTCGCCTCGTCCCATCCCTAACGGATATATGTAATTGTTAGAAAATGCCACCATTTTTTAAGGCCTCAAAGTAAACGATCTTGTACCACCTTTAATTTTCTTGTTCCTAAAAATTTAAATTTTCAATTAAAGGTTTACTTCTTCAACATTTTTCTTGGGTTATTTAGTTCCTCTTATTTTGATTGTTTATTTCAATTATTGTTTAATTCGTAAATTATATAAACATACAAAACAATTAAGAAGTGGAATACCTTTACGGAGAATAACTATTTACACTATTTTAATTGCTGCTTTATATTTTCTTTGTTGGACACCTTATTGGTTTTTTAATTTAAAAAAATCTTTAAAAATTTTAATTAAAAAAGGTGTTCTGTACTTTATGCTATTTGGATGTCTATATTTACTGGTGATAAACCAACATCAGAATTAGTTCTTTTTATTATTTATTGTGTTCATTTACTCCCTTATTTGGGGTCTGCTTCGAATTGGATACTTTATGGGTAGGTATTTTAAATCACTTGGAACTCACTATAAAACACACTATAACTCACACACATATTACTAGATCCACCTCTATTTAGGATACGGTTTTCAAGTTGATTAATCATTGATTGGGGGATCATTACGAGTGATACCCCCTATATCCCATCACTATCAAAATTTTCAACCTCAAACTATAATTAATTATTTTTGTTTAAGCCTTTTAAATACACAATTACAAAGAAGGCAACACGAACCTTCAACATCAATAACTACAGCAATACATACAAATATACCCCCAGATGAAGCTAATAGTTTATTTAATGAAAATGGTAAATAAATGAATTTTGATAACATACTCTGTCTCCAAAAGACCAGTTTATAGGATATAATGATAGTGGGACTAACTATATCCGTTGAAAAATATTTGATGTTTTTATAAAATATGTAATTTCCGTTTTTTTCAATTCTCGGACACAATCTTCTTGATCACACTATAATCCTTAAATTATAAAAAAATCTTGGCCGAAAATAGATCTCTAAAAAACTATTTTTGTTAAAATTTTATGAAGAAAGAGACCAATTCATTTAACAGAATTTAATTTAAAGATACTCATCAAAATAGCAATTTAATTAATTGTTGGAAGCATTCGGGTATTCCAAACGGGCATTCAAATATAGCTAAAGCAATGGGACGTAAATCCAAAAGACAAACATCTTCTGCTGACAGTAAAGAAGATTTGTTGTTGTTAGATACTAATAGGTACTTTAAAATAAATTTAAAATTAATTTAAAAATTTAAAAAGGCCTTCAAAACGAAAATCAATTTCTCTTTGTAATAATGAAAATAATAAAATAATTAATGGAAATGATTTTATCTCAAATAAAAATAATTTACATCAACAATCATTTATTTCTTCACCTTCTTATTCTTCAGAATTAGAACAAACACCTAATGAAGAAGAAGGGGATCAACAACTTTAAAATAATTCTTTTTTTTTCAAAATTTTATTTATTTTATATTTTAGTTTTTTTTGAATTTCAATAATAAAATTTTATATAAATTAAAATAAAAACAATTTTAAAATCAACTAACAAATACATACATAAGGTTTAATATTTTATAATAAATAGGGTTGCCGTTTTCGTACCGGGCCGGACCGGCCGAGTCTTTTTCGGGCAAAAAAGACTAAATATTAATATGCGAATAATATCTCAAAGAAATATGTAGATAACTATAAAACTTTTAAAAGGATCTGTGAGATAGATTCTAGCAGTAATGAACACTGATTAAAATAAACATCTTCATCAAGGTTTTTCTATCGTAAAGCATATAGCTATTTATTTCCTAAGGCTATGCAGTAGGCGGCGTGGTGTAACGGATAACACATCAGTCCGGTCTACTGAAGATGCTGGTTCGCTCCCAGCCGCCGAATAACTAGGGAGGGAAATAACTGCTTTACTCTATCTATTTAACTACTCTAATTAACGGAAACCTTTTCACCGGTCATTGAATAAAATTTTTCCCTAAAATAGCAATATAATAAGCATTCGAGTTCATTATATCGATACTATATGTATATTTTGATATTTTTATTTAAATATATTACAGAAATAAGGAAAAATATTACAAATATGAAAATGAATGGCCCTCATATTAGTTCCAAATACATAGAGATATAACCTTGTTTGCTCGTTTCAGACATCTACCAACTCAAGTTAAGAATGGTATTATATAAAAGCTCATTGTTTTTGTTGTTTGTTCATCTAAACATCAAAACATGCCTTCCTCAAAAACAGTTTCAATGCTTTTGGCTACCTTTGTTTTTGTTATTTATTCTGTCGGATTGTTAACTCTTGTTGAATCTACTACTACTAGAATAATTGAAGTTGGACGAGGCAAGCACAAATTGGAAGCTGATAATGTGATTCTGAGTGATGGTTCGAGGATTGCTGGAAGAGAGGACATGCATGAATTCAACTTTCTATCAAAAAGAGGATCATGTGATTTAGAGATCGATTACGACCATATGTAAATTAAATACTGTTTCACAATTATTTTTAAAAATATTTTCAGAATTGTGTACTTTCAAAAACGTGGAGGTTGTACTGTGGACTTTATTGTTGAAGATTCGGATATTTCAAACACAAACGATACGTCACATACCGCTGAATTTACAATAGTATTGTATAGCGATGGACAATTATCTGATTGTTTGATGAATTGTTCTAAATTAATGAATAGAAATTTGTATGTCAATTGCTAATTTATTTTCATGAAAATATTTTTATTTTAGTTTGGGCCTTGGTTTCAGCAATAATGATTTGCCGGTGGGTACCTATAAAATAGGAATTTGTCTTAGTAGAAATAGATTGATTGTTGGGTCATTTTTCGGTACTAATATATTTGCTTTTATTTAAATTTAATTTACAAATTTTAAGCTGCCAGTTGTGCACCTTCTTCTGTATGTGACAAACACAAAATCAACTTCTCTCAAAAATTTATTAAACTCAATTTTCTTATGAACACATTTCCTCTTCTAATTAAAGAAGAGTTCACCCAATGTTTTCCACGTTCAAGCACATATCAACGTTCAAAAGATTTAGCTAGAGTAAAGGCTTGGAAAATTATAAATGTTGGAGATAATAGCGATGAAAGTTTAATTGGCAAACGATTAATTGTTTTACATTTATTGCCTGATTATATGCTATTTCCTTCTTGCACAAAAAATGGGACAATTAATGAAGAAGAGATGATACGTAAACCTGGATGTTCTTTTGCAATTGAATTTGTAAGTTTAGTTTTAAACTTGGTCAACCCTCACAACAATCTACAACCTCACTAGCGAGAGTTGTAGTCAAACTTTTAATCCAATATCCCTAAGCGATACCACACAATTGCATTTAAGTAAGTATAATTTTTCAGTTAAAGATAAGGGGGAGGTTCTAGGGAAGTTCTACTACAATTATTTTTAAAATATTTATTTTTTAGTCTGGCAAAAAATATAAACTATTAACAACACTTGGGAAAAAATTTACAAGTACACCAACATCAATTAATTATCCTAAAACAAAAACACGACAAACTTTTGAAAACAAAACACCACTATTTTTTGAGAATAAAACTGCTGCATCTCTCTAATTAACCAAACAAACAAACTAAAAATGGCCCTTTCCCAAGAAATATAGAAATAAATAATTAAATGATAAACTCCGATAAACTCTTGACCTTCCATGTCATAAAAGCATTTAGGATTTTTCCCGACTAAATATTTACCCAAAACCCCTTATCATATATTTTGTTATTCACTTTTATATAATTAATTTTTGACCTAGCTATTCTCAATAACAATTTATGTTTGTGTAAGAATCCCTATAAATACTCCCCCGCAATTTAACTCTTTAACTTATTTTGAATTCAATATAAAATAATTATAAACTTTTAACGCTCTGAATAAATATTTGTTTCTGAACTGAACTATAGTTATTTCCAAGGCTGAACCGATTGATAGTGAACTGAAACCAGTTCATTTTGGTGCCACTATATCCGGGTTAAAAGCCTTGAGTGATTTAAAGATTTTTTTTCAACGCGGTTGACTGCTAGGTGCTCAATCCGCCAGCTTTGTGCTCGTTAATATAGGAAATTGCTGGGTGCATTCCTAAATAAAAACTGGACTTTCCGCTTAGTGAAAAAGAATATAAGGGCTTTCCTGCTCCTGAAAATATTTTTTGGAGTATATTAGAAATGGATAACCGCCCTAAACCAACTGGATCTGACTTCGCGGCTAAATTTTTTACGCCAGAAGAAGGCAGACATTGGTATAATCTTTTATTTCGTCTCCGAAGCTTTGAAGAAGCTGTTTGTAAATCTTTTAGAAAACTTGAAGCAAGAATAAAAGATGGACAAGTTTTACCAATAACTTCGTCCTCATCTGAAAATAATCCTTTAATAGAAGAAAAATTAAAAATTATGGAAAATCAATTTAAAATTCTTGAAAAATTTGTAAATGATGAAATAACTCATTTAGGGATAGATACTGAAATTTCAAAAATGAAAATAAACGAATTTGATGAAGAATTGAGAAATAAAGGTATAAATAATGAAATGGTATTTTTACGCTCTAAAAATATGGAGTTAGAAAAAGAGCAGATAATGCACATCCAACGTTTAGACATTTTAGAGGAGGGAATGATAAACGTTGAAGATAAATTTAAAACAATAGATAAAAATATTTTTGAAAAAATAAACAAAAATGCGCATATAATTATTGAAAAAATTGAAAGCATCGAAGCAAAAGTCGAAGTTCTCGAAAACGCGTCTCGTACATCTGGTTTTTCCTGGGATAGTGCCGGAGTGGATAAATCAAATGACCCAAAGAAAAATAACACTGAAAAACCCAAATCGTTGGAAAAAAATGCAGAAGAGTATGAAAAAATTAATTGGGATGAAAACTGCGAAATTATGGTTGGAGACCCATTTTTGAATGTTTTGGGAACACCAGTAGGAATTTTTGATGGAAACCCAACCATTTCATTCTCTCGATGGTCGCAACGATTCTTAGACGCAATAAATTTAATAATAACCCCGCTTACTGAGGCTCAGAAATTACATCGTCTTAAAGTTTGTTTAGGAGGACGAGCTCGCGCCGAAATGGATTCAGTAATTCCACAACCTGAAACTCTTCAAGAAGCCATAAATTTCTTGCAAGAAAGGTTTGTGAATGGACATTCGCGAACAGTAGCGCGCCAAGCTCTCTCTATAGTAAAACAGGCTCCTGGCGAAAGAGTCTTTGCATTTGCCCAACGTTTGAACGATGCAGTCCGTGCCGTAATGATAGGATATGAGGAGAATATAATACAGCAACGCCTGCTCGATGAATTCCTAGATCGGCTTTTACCGGAATTACAATTTGAAGTTAAAGCTTCCCGCCCTGAGGACTATTCTAAAGCTTTCGAAATAGCTGAACACTTTGAATTATTATTAGCTGAAAAACGCCCCAATTACCAAAATAATCAATTTGTTGAATTAGCGGAGAAAGTAGAAGCTTTAGCAATCAATAACTCCAAGGATAATAGACGTTTATGTTATTATTGCCACAAACCTGGTCATGTAATCGCAGATTGCCGAAATCGTTCGAGAAATAATTATAGACCTCGCGAATACAAAAATGACTATAAAAAGGATAGATATGAACAAAGAAATAATAGATACAATAATAATTATAGGGAAAATTCACAAAATTATAGAAATAATTCTAATAGAGGAAAATGGAATAATAGAAGCTCATATAATAATTACCGTAGCCCAAACCGGAGTAACTTTAGAAATGATTATAGTGGACACTCTAATTCTAAAAGAGTAAGGTTTAGCGAGAGTCGTACGGCGAGTCCTATAAATGCTAGCCCAAGGATTGCAAGTCCTTATTTCTTGGCACTTTTGGCGCTTATTGCTCTAATTTGCCCTGCAACAGCTAGCCATGGACCACAAAGCCCAATGATTTGCCTCGCTGATTCGCCTAGTAGTTTATGGAAATTACCAGAAGAACCTATCTGCCCACATTGGAAAACTACGGAACCGCCTGTACAGATGCCTTTATCTATATACCGAGCAAATACACTACAGTATAAGACGGCCACAACCGTCTGTAAATGTGTAAAAACAATAATAAATCGAAGAATGGGAATTTTTGGCTCAAAATACGAAACTATAGATACTGAAAATATTGAAATTCCAACCTCAACCTGCCATAGAATGCATAGCCTCTTTCATTCACCTGCTGGAGAAATGTATGGAAATAACACCTTTAAGGCAACCAATAATACTTTGGAAAAAGAATGGCGAATTTGGCCCTTTAGCCTCATGTGGTATACAGAAGAAGTAACAAATTGTTACGCATTTGACTCTGTAATTTTTACTCGCCACGGAATGAGCGGTGTATCAACACCTTTAGGAACTTGCCCAGGCTGCCTTTACACTTCGGGTTCATGCCGCTGTGCACAAGGAAGCCTTATTTGGCAACCGGAAAAATCGCAGCAATGCTCATTCATATTTGTTGCCCGATGGGAAGGCGAATATTCAACTAGAATTTGGATAACCCAGAGTAGTGAATTTGCCCTTAGTTTCGAAAATGCCACAATTAAAAATGATTGTGAGGGAACGCAATATGCAATTTCAGATCAAGGTTTCTCAGTTCCTGTAAATGAATATAACGAAATGATAATGAAAAGTGAAAAAGAACATAAAGAAATAAAAAGATTTAAAAGAGATGTTGGCATAGTATATTCACAGCAACTCGCAGCGCAAATGACTGCCCTTAGCGCAAAAATAACCTATAACACACAACGTTTATTTGCCGAATCCACTCATCAAATTTGTACTAGCTTACAATCAATAGTAGACCAAACATTGAGCTTAGCTATTGCAAATCCCACTCTTCTCGCTAGACATTTTATGAAAAATAAATTTATTTCTGCGAGATTAGTGACAGATAGGACGTTGGAAATAAAACCTTGCTTTCCTATAAACTTTAGAGATATACATTATAATTGGAAAAATGGCCGTTGTTTCAATAGAATACCAATTAGTTTTAAACTTTTTGAGATACAAAAACATGGATTTCTAGATTCCAATAATTTAATTATATACCCTGAAGCAAAAGAAATAGAATGTGCAACAGCTAAATCCCATTTCGTTGAAATGAATGGAAAAATAATACAATATAACCAAATAAATGGAGACGAACATGAAATCCCAATTGAATCAATTTTCACATTAGCCCGTTTTGGAAGCTTAGATTTTCCCGAAATTGGAATAACTATTTTTAGGAATAAAATTTTGGCCAATCTATCCGAGTTATATTCACCGGAACATTTTAATGAAACTTTAGAAGCAGCAGAAATTAGTCAGGAAATAATGCGTTTAACTAGACCCAGCAGCAGTGCCTGGAGGGAATCAAATGGCAAAACGGAATTAGTCGCAGGAAACATAGTATCTAGTGGCTTATTTTCATTTTTAAGAGGTGGAATACCATCTTTTAATCAAATCTGGATATTTTTTGTTTGTTGCTATGTTACAGCTTCTATTGCCATACAATTACTATTGCCACCTGCACTGATACAATACCTTAACCTCATAATTAATTTAAGCACGCCATATAATCGTTTAACAAAATTAAAGCAAAATTACCAAAATAAAAGGCGTGAAATTAAAGAAATTGAGATGGCAGAAAAGGATAAACCGGTCCCCCCATTAATTGAACGTTGGCCGAGTGTGGATATTAAACAAATAGCTGAAATTGCCGCTTGTTTTTCTAATCAATGCGATGATGGTTTTCGAATAAATTGTGAAATAAACGGTCAAGAAATAACCTGTCTATTAGATACGGGAGCACACATATCATTGCTAGGTAAAAAGACGGCAGAAAACTTAAAAATTAATAAAATTTACTCCCCTGAAATAAACGCCATAATAGGGATTGGAGAAAAAATAGTACCTACTATTGGTCAAGTAGAAGTTAAATTTAAAATCGCTGGTTGTGAGATATACACGTCAATTGTTATATTAGAAAACGAAATAAGCACTACAGGCAAATATGACGTTATAATTGGTAGAAATACATTAAGAAAACTCCCGCTTTATCTCGATTTTAAAAAGGCTCAATTAATTAATAATGCAGGACAAAAATACTGCTATAAAATTGAAACAGAAAATATAAATTTAAGCTCAAATCTGACTATGGAGGAGCAAGAAAAATTAAAAATCAGTCTTAATAAAAATAAAGAAATTTTTTCAAAACACGAATATGATTTAGGGGAATGTAAAATTATAGCCCCGCCAATTTTAACA